TTTACTCCATTATAGATTACATGTTAATACTGAATATTCATTCTTTTCTTAAATTTCAAGTTTGTTCTTTTCACCTGATGTTTTGTTTTCTTTCTGATTACCTAACGTTTTCAGGTCTTCACCACTGCTGCTTATGATGACCATAAAAACATTGTGCTGTTGTCTTTCGAGATAATGGAAAAGATTGTGCGGGATTATTTTCCATATATTACAGAGACTGAGACCACAACATTCACAGACTGCGTTAACTGCCTTATTGCATTCACTAATAGTAGGTTCAACAAAGATATTAGTCTCAATGCCATTGCTTTCCTTCGTTTATGTGCGGCAAAACTTGCTGAAGGTGATCTTGGCTCCTCGAGGAACAAGGACAAAGAAGCTTCTGGGAAGCCTTTACCATCTTCACCTCATAAAGAAAAAGACCACAATATTGAAAATGGAGAATTGACAGATAAGGAGGACCATCTGTATTTCTGGTTTCCTCTGTTGGCTGGTAAGGACAAAGACATTAGACTTAGACCAGGATTTCATGCCTGTAAAGCAAATGCTCTCTTTCACTGTTCTTTGTAGAGACATGTTTTAAGTCTAGGTTAATATTTGTTATACTTGTTTAAGAAATTATTCCTTTTCTCTTACAGGACTATCTGAACTTAGCTTTGACCCGAGGCCTGAAATCAGAAAGAGTGCTCTGCAAGTGCTGTTTGATACCTTACGCAATTATGGGCACCATTTCTCTCTATCATTATGGGAAAGGGTGTTTGAATCTGTCCTATTTCCAATCTTTGACTATGTTCGACATACGATTGATCCTTCAGGTGAAAACTCACCTATGCATGGAAATGATGATGAAGAGGGTGAGCCCGATCAGGATGCATGGCTTTATGAGACCTGCACACTGGCACTCCAACTGGTCGTAGATCTTTTTGTTAAATTTTATGACACAGTCAATCCTCTTCTGAAGAAAGTGCTGTTCTTATTGGTGAATTTTGTCAAGCGTCCTCATCAGAGTCTTGCTGGTATTGGCATTGCTGCATTTGTCCGTCTTATGAGCAATGCTGGGAATCTTTTCTCTGAAGACAAATGGCTTGAAGTGGTTTTGTCCCTTAAAGAAGCTGCTAATGCAACTCTTCCCGACTTCTCTTTTCTTCTGAATGAAAATAACAATTATTGGTCCCAGGAAGAAGATATGGCTAGGAATAGCAATGCTGAAACCACTGGGACTGATTCTCCAGATGAGGACTTGGAAAACCTGAGGAGGCACCGTCTATATGAAGCTATTTCTGATGTGAAGTGTAGGGCTGCTGTTCAGCTATTATTAATTCAGGTATCCAGCATAGCCACTACTGTGGGTTTAGTTCTAATTCATTTATATATGCTCTCCTGAAGCAAGTAAAGATGGTATACACTATGTTAAGGGTACAAGATAAAGGGCTTGATCAGTACATTGCTTCATGTTCCTACATAAAAATCATTAGTGTGATGGACTCAAAAAGCCCAATGAATGTCGTACTGTTTAAAAGATCTTTTGAATATCTCGTGGTTTGACTTGACATTGTTAGACACAAATTGAAGGTGGATAACGTGTCAAATTAAGTGGGAGAAATGTGGGGTTGCCATATAGTTTTGGTTTTAAAATATATAGGCACATTTAGAAATTTTGGACGCATGTATATCTGCTGTGCTAGTGTTTATTCAAGCTCTTAAGCTAGAAATGTATATATGGATAAAAAATAACAGATTTATGTTGGAAACAAAAGCTATTTTTAAATGTCTAGAAGGAGATACCATATTCGAATAGGAGTAATTTGATGAAGGTTGGGCTAAGATATTTTAATAAGGAAAGATAACCGGATAAGTACTCCACTTGATAAACAACCTACCATTCATGAGTTATCGATTTACGGTTGCATTATCTTTTCTCACTGTCTTTAATCAATCTGAGATTAGTACTATTTTATTTTTTGATATAAAACTTTAACTAGTAACACCTTCATAGAAGTTGGTACCTATTTTATTTCATCATAGTTTCTTTTATGTATGACTAGAACTGGGAAAAAGAGAATCAAATTATAATTGACTAAATACTATGAACCCTTGATGCCTTCTCAAGTTTCAGACAATCTTTCTATTGCTGATCTCTGTAGTTTGAGATTAGAGACTCAGAATATCTCAGAATCCTGTAGGACGATCTAATTTGATATGACAGGTGTTCGTGTTTTTGGTGTTTGGCGGTTGTGTTTCTCTTTCTAGGTGTCTACTTGCACTCGGGATATCTTTGTATTGTTATTTTGGTCATTCGCTTAAGTATGGGGGCCGTGTGCTTCCTTAAATGTCATGTCTTCAGAAAGAACATTGATATTATTGGGAACCTTGTATGGTCAATTTGATTAATCTTTCCTGCTTTTCGTGTATATGTGGAGAGTATAATTACTACCATACTGGTCGCTTGCACATTGCAGGCTGTGATGGAGATCTACAACATATACAGACCTCAGCTGTCTAGCAAAAACATCATTGTCCTCTTTGATGCCATGCATGGTGTGGCGTCTCATGCTCATAAGATAAACAGTGACGCAACACTACGGTCAAAGCTTCTAGAGTTCAGTTCCATGACCCAAATGCAGGACCCTCCATTATTACGGCTTGAGAATGAGGCATATCAAATTTGCCTCTCATTTTTACAAAATCTTGTGCAAGATAAACCTACTGGTTTTGAAGATTCTGAAGTGGAAACTTACCTCGTCAACCTTTGCAGCGAGGTCTTACACTTTTATATTGAAATTGCACGTTCAAGACAAATGTCCGAGTCATCTCTTGGTGCACAGCTTCGTTGGTTAATCCCCCTTGGCTCTGGTAGAAGGAGAGAGTTGGCTGCACGTGCACCTCTTATCATTGCAACTCTCCAGGCAATATGTAGTTTAGGAGATGCATCATTTGAGAAAAACTTGTCTTGCTTCTTCCCATTACTTTCAAGCTTGATAAGTTGTGAGCATGGCTCAAATGAGATTCAGTTAGCCCTGAGTGATATGCTCAGCTCATCCGTGGGTCCTGTTTTGCTTCGATCATGTTGAGCTTAGGGTACTCATATGTTTTTTTTTCTTCGATATATGGTAATATTTCTTGTATTTTTGCAATTTTTGCTATGATCTAATATTGCAGAAAGATAGTTATGGTGCTTCAAAAACTAGTGATTGTTTATCTGCCCAGGCATTTAGAACCTTCTGCAATATACTGAGGAGCTTAGCTCTTTGTAGAGTCATTAGATGTTAGCAGGAGTTCTGGTGTTGTATGTGTAGCATTCCTCTACATTATATGAGCAATTTCATGTCTAAAGTTTGCTTGTTCTGTATCGGCTCAGAATCATTTTGTGGGCTTTGTTTATCTGATTAGTTGCAGGGGTCTGGTAATTGATGTTTGATTTTACAGCTCTGAAGCAGTATAAGATCATCCATGGCGATTCCGTTGGTTAGAAGACAAAGATATTATTTGTGTTTGATGCACAGGTATGCTTTTGTTGGATTGATGCTTACTTCTCTTTTCAATTTATTTTTTGATTGTAATAATATTTGGGCCAGCTTGCATGTACACCGACAAGAACACTTGATGGGTTGGCCTCTCATGAGCAGATGGGCTTACACTAAATATTGTTGCTGGGATTCAGACCTAGGGTTTTTAGGTTGTTACTTCTATGCTTCAACCACTAACACATTTACTTGGGGATGGGTGCATGGCTACCTTCTCGTAATTGCTTTATGGAACATATTTGAAGTGGGCCTCTGATTTGTTACTGAACCTGCGAGGAAATATTTTCCCTGGCATATCCAACTGTTTTTTTAATGTTATTACTCTATAAGCAAAATGACCATTAAGGGACTCCAGAATTTTCTCTGAAAGGCGTCAGTGTACAGACTGTCATTATTCTTTTACAACTCAGACATACTTTGCTGGTGATCCAGTTCTTTCCTGTTATCATGGACTAATAGGGTAACTAAGGTTTCTGAACCCTGGAAAAAAGTCTTCGTCTTTATGCAAGTTTCTGTTTCTGCTATGTCTGGGTGATTATTGTGGTGTTTATGCGTTGTGATTTTGGAGAGCTGCCAGTCTCCACTTTCCATGTAGTTTCTTAACCTGTTTTCCTTTTTCCGTTTAGAGCTTTTGTTGAAAAACAGACAGATATCATTGAGTGGTTATTTATGTTCATTTGTATCCTTTTTACAGAGAAGTGCTTTTTTACGAGGAAACGGTCTCTTATAGCCACTTATAATTTCAATAGAAGAAATGACTTTTTCAGATCTCTTATGTGTAGAAATAAAGATCGCATGTAAAAAAGACATAAAGTTACAAACACATTTTTAAAGGACTATAAAACCAATTGAAGGAGTAATTTTCCTTATCTTCAAAATCTACTGGTGACATAGTGCTTTTTACGGTCGTATCAGTGATTTGCAATTTTTCATTTATCCAGGGAACTCTGTTTTTGAATCTGCCCACTTTGTTAAATTTCTGTTCAGCTATAGAACTACAAATGACTGAAAGACCTATCCTACTGGTCTTAAAAAAAAGTCTATTTTTTTTTTTTCTGGTAGATATCAATGTGAAGGGAGACTCAAAAATTTTCCCGTCCAAAAAATATCACCCATCGCTTTTCAAGATTCAAAACAAGATTTTGGGCGTGCGTTTAGAGTGTTTTACCTGTGATTTTAACGCGGATAGGTGTTAACTTAAAAGTTTCTTAGAATTAATTTAGTGTAGCGTAATTCCAGAAATTAGTCAAATTGACTATCGATAAACTAAATTTATCAAATTCCGTTGGAGAAAGTGATAGGAAGATTCCATCTTCTACTAGGTGACTTCTAAAACGTTGCACCTTGGTCCCTAAAGAATCCCAAGTACCTTCTCTTGCTGTTGGAAAGAGTACTTGTGTCTTAATTGCCGTCTGACATGTAAATTCCTAAGAGATTGTTCATTAACACTTGATTGGTTCACAAACGGAGGCCCCAAGAGCCAAAAAGAGAGGGAAAAAAAACATGATGACAAATATTGCCGGCAATTTTAAGAGGATATTTCCTTATTTCACTAGGAATTAAACTTGGTAACTAGCACAGCAAAGACATTGTTTACATTCCGCGACATGATTTCTTCCACTTCTTTCTTCTGCTGCTTCATTCTAACTTGGAAAAGGTTCAGAATTTTTCATTTTAATAGAAAGAGAGAAAGAAATCTGAGTACTTGGAAAATGCAGGTTACTTTCTGTAGGACCACATGAGGACTATAGTATGATTAGAAAGTGACAAATGACTGAGTTTCTTCTCCCAAATTCCACGGCACATGTAATGTCACATGATGCTCTCTCACATTCATTTGTGCTGACTAATTCTACTTCTTGACAATTGACAATAATTCAACTACCACTGTTTTTCAGTCTTTTACTCTTATCGTTTCTCCTTTTTTCCAAGATCCTAGTTAAAAGATCACTATGGATTCTTTCAGAATATGGTTCAAGTCTTTGCATAACTCTGCTGGAAAATTTCTTGGACAATTTAAGTACTGGAAAAAAGAGAAAAAGAAACCAAAGAGAATGGTTTCTGATTTCAGTTGGTTATCAGGTTTTGCAGCTATGGAAATCTCTAGTCAACTTAAATTAGTCTTTAAATTCATAGATGCTAATGGAGATGGGAAGATATCTCCACTGGAGTTAACTGAAATTTTGTTGAGTCTTGGACATGAAGAATTAAAAGCTGCTGAAGAATTAGCTGAAGTTATGGTAAAAGAAATGGATAGTGATGGGGATGGATTTGTGGATTTGGATGAGTTCATGAGTATTATGGGGGTGGAAAATGATCAAGTTTTTGGTGATTCTACTAAGGATATTGATGAGCTTAGGGGAGCTTTTCTTGTATTTGATGCTGATAAAAATGGAGTTATATCTGCTAAAGAGTTGAGGAGAGTCCTAATTAGTCTTGGTTGTGTAAATTGCAGTGTTAAAGAGTGTCGTAGAATGATTAAAGGGGTTGATAAAGATGGTGATGGATTTGTAAATTTTGATGAGTTTAAAGAAATGATGGGTGCTGGTTGCAATCTTTAGTATAGTAAGCTCATAATCTTTTTTTTTTTAAAATTCTATTTTTGTATTATTTGGGATTTGAAGGGGAGCTTAGCACAAGTTAATAGTTGTCTGTGTATGATCAGTACGAGTTTAAACTGTGGAAGCAAAATGTAAGAGTGCGTGTAATTGACCCAATATAATTTAGCCCTTTTTCGAACTAGGCGCACACGAAAATCTTAGTGCATCGGGCTGACTTTCTTTTCTTTTTAATGTTTGGGATTTTCTTCGTTTGTATGTTCACTGTGAAAATTCACTTTTTCTTGTAATTAGTATTGTCGGGCTTGTGTTTTCTCATCATATTATTAAAGCTCGACTCTTTCGTTGTTTCCAATAATTTCAGAGATCAGAGTCAAGATCTGAAGACAAAATATGTACGTTCAAGTATACCTAAACAAACACAGCCATTTATTAGCTGCATCGTCACGTGACACGTCTCAATTGTTATACCCTCTGAAATGATTAAAAAATATCAAAATTGTTTACTCTTGTCGCATGTTCTTGACCTAAATGGGTTTCCTTTTTCTTTGTTTGGGTCTTTAAAATATCCAAAAAGAGAACATTTCGCAGCAAATCTTTTCTCTTTTATTTTTCTGCTAAAATTCTCATTAACGAAATTCATGAGCTAAAATTTTCATTTAAAAGTTAATATTAAAATCATATCACATAAATGCGCCGACAAAAGATTGTATTTATTTATTTGGTGCGTGGATCAGGTGCCGATATATTGCAAGTTCCAATTTCACCAGTGACTCTTATTTTCTCCTACTGGTTTAACTTATTTATATATAGCGGTCAGAAGATAAACGCAGACGCAACAGGCCGTTGAATTTTGTGACCTAAAGCCAAACTTTACGGGGCCTTAATTTTTTTTTTAAAAAAATTATTATTTATTTGAAGTCTATTTTCTTTAGCGTTTCTTGGATACAGAATTATTAATAATTTTCTTATAATCAATAACTCTTAATATATATTTCTCAATTGACAATATAGCTAATCTATTTGACTTTTCTTGTGACATTGTTGATCTTAGATAAGATTTTATTAATTTTAATTTTGAAAACTTCTTTCTGCTGAAGCAACGGTAACATGAGTTATTAACATTATTCCATAAGCAATTTAGGCATTTGAAAAAGAATTAAATCTTTTTATTTGACTAAGTGTATCAATTAAACTACTATCTTCTAATTGTACTATTTTTCTTAATACTTTTAATTCAGAAAAAAAAATCTAAACCATCAATATCGAATTGATTATTATGCTTTAACGAATATTCAAGATTAAGGTAACATTTTTTCAAATTTCCAACATCTAGTGATCTTAGTTTTTACCGCCAAATAGAAAATCAAAAATATTTTCATATGCTTCGAATTGTTCAAATCTATTTTGAAGTGAAAAAATAGCCTTGTCTATTATGTATAAAAGTAATCAACTCTAAAGGACTCTTCGAAAGATTTTGTGATTTCTTTATCATCACTCCCATCAAATTGTTGCTTCCTATATATCACATTTTTCTTAAATTTCGGGTTCGATATTTCAAGTGCAATTTTCTTGGTAGAAATCACAGTAATTGCAAATACTTCTTCTCTGTTATAAAACAATAAATGAAGAACACGAGTATTGCAGAGAAAAGTAGAGAGAGAGAATTCTTATTGATATTGGATGAATTACAATGGAATAGAACCCTCTATTTATAGGGAGGGGGTGACTTAGCCACCAAGCAATGAACCCTAGAATCTCTCTAAATATAGACATTCACCATAAATACAATTCTATTTATAACACTCCCCCTTGAATGTCTATTCAACAGATAATGTGCCTCGTTAAAACCTTAACTAAAACAAAACCCAGTGGGAAAAAATTTAGAGAAGGAAAAAGAGTACACATATCTACATACGCCTTTTGCTTGCCTCATTAAAGACCTTGCAAGGAAAACCCAGTGGGACAAAACCTTGTAAGGAAAAAAGAGTGCAACGCGTATTAACTCCCCCTGATGAGAGCATCAATTCACATCCTTAAGCATTTGCATTCCAGTCTTGTGCACCATCATCAAAAGATCTTTGGTAGAGATTTGATAAACAAATCAGCCATATTAACTTGAACGAATTTGTTTCACCTTGAAATCATCATCCCTAATAGATGTATTGTCTTCATATGATCTTGTAGGAATCGTCAGTTCAATATCTTCACATAGAGGTGAAACTCATGCTATCGTATTATCATGCCTATAGTTATAGCAAGATACATTTGTGCACAAATTGCACTGAGGAAGTGGTACTTCAAGATCAAGAATTGTATATGCTTCAAGCAACTTAAATTCTTCATGGATTGTCACATAAGTTAAGTCATATAAGCCATATAGTAGACTTTAGATGCATATTAAGTTTTCATGTCATGCTAGACATATAAGATATCGAAAACTGATTGCACATACCATTGACTTTATACTTTCAAGTGTTTGAACTACATGTCTTTCAAATGAAACCAATTCTATTCGAAATTGTTTCTCCAGACTTTATCCTCATATATATTTAGCGGTATCATAGATGTTGTCGATGAACATTTTATATTGGTTCCAACCTCCCTTTTTTTCCATAAAGACATAACATAGATATCTCTTCATTTATATTTTCAGGTACCTGAATCTCTCCTGAGATTTTATGAAGTGTTATGTCATGTGATCTTCTAGATCACTTGCCTCCTTTGTTATGATCATTTAGATCATTTTCTCATCTTATTTATCAAGAAGTTTATTTGAAACCGATTTGTCTATAGGCTTCAAGCGTACCATAGACTTTGTCCTAGATACCATAGACTTTGTCCTTCTAGGACTAAATAGGAGCATTTGCAATGAGAATATAGTTACTTTCTTTGGGCCAGCAAATACGTCTGGCATGCTTTGCAATATATTGCAAATGAATAATTCTTTTATGAACTTCAAGTTCATATTATCTTATTCGAGGATCTAGATGTTCAAATGATAATTCATTCCACGTAACTTTTTCTCAACTGTTTATCATGTCTCCCCCTCATGTTAGAAAAACTAACTTGTTACCTCAACTTTCAGAATCCACCTTTGTGCGTTATGGTGTTAATCAAAATATACACAGCACATCAATAATAATAAGATGGAATTATTTGGTTCCTGACCCTGAACCACTTGTGTGGGGAGAAAATAATATACTTTGGTATATAACGTATCAAACTGATATATATAACTTTTTCTCATAAGCAATTATTTAGCTATTGAGTGGAGGCACTCAATAAATCATTTTGCTAAACCAACTGTGATGTAAACCAAATTATCAAGATGAACTATCTTGAATAAAAAATCTGAAAATTATGCACTAAATCAAATTATTGAGCAAGTTACCCCGCAAATACCATGTTGCGGGTTAATAATAATAGCACATGTAACCATCTCATAGATGCATCTTATGGGTTATACATGGCATGTGAATAGGCCCATATTCACCTTTGATATTTTCATCATTCATGGGATTCAATCCCTATCTCAAACCTCCTTCTAGAGGTGAGTGCGTGGTATATTCACTACCACTAGCACGTTCATATTCTTCCTAGAATGAATATGTATTCATAAGTCAGATGTGGTCACATTCACATCATGAATTGACCATAGTCATCTGTATGTGCTTTACGAAATCTTATGTCAAATCGATGACAAACATTAACTTCATAGAGTGAAGGCTTATTTTGAGAAACCTTATTATTCTCATTACCACAACGATGACGATTATAATTTCGTCTATTGCCACGTCCACATCCATTGATACCTTCACGGTAATAATTTTGTCTTCTTTCAGACTTATCATATACTGCTATCATATTCTCCTAAGGGAATGAGAATGAAGCAAATTCAATGGGATGGGCATGCACTTCTTGTGCCCATAATCATACATGAATTTGATCATGGCGAGACATAAAAATTTTACCACTTCGAGTGGTTATAATTTCTCACAAACTCTATTAGAGTTATAATCAAAATTTATTGTCTTTGCTTGTATTTAAAATTAAATTATAGAATAAAAGAGAAAAATACGGTAAAATACTTACCTTAAATCCAGAATTTAATCATGAAGGAAGTTCATGGAATAATTGACAATCATTATGCTCAATCCCAAAGCTTCTAACAATTGGTTAGAGTCTCGTGCTGATAACGTGTTATAAAACAATAAATGAAGAACAAGAGTATTACAGAGAAGAGTAGAGAGAGAGAATTCTTATTGATATTGGATGAATTAAAATGAAATAGATCCCTCTATTTATAGGGAGAGGGTGACTTAGCCACCAAGCAATGAACCCTAGAATCTCTCTAAATATAGACATTCAACATAAATACAATTCTATTTATAACATTCTCTATATTTGTTATAAAGAAAGAAATCAAACTTTTTCACTTTATAATTTTTTTTTAAAACTTATACATAGTCTATTAGGTGTAACAAAAAAATGAGGCCCCCACAAATATGGGATCTAAAGCGGTTACTTTACTTGCTTTATGGAAAGGCCGCCCTGAGACGCAAAAGCATTCCACTTTGTTAAAAGATTACATTTTGATTAAATAAGAGAAGAGATCACTATTCTGTTTGTCATAAATGTGATAAAATTTGAAAAGCTCATATTTTCATCAAAAGAAATGATTATGAATGAGGCGAATTGTAGCTTTGGTGTTTACCTGAAGCATATTTTTTGACATGAGGAATAAATATGTATGTGAAAAGTTCTTAAAAAGTTAACAAAAAGTATTAAATTTGGAGATCATATTTTAGAGAGATTTTTTTCTTCCTATATAATATTTGAAATTTATTTAATAAAATTATCCTAGTTTTGTATATTACCCGCCCTAAACAAGGATTACTTATAAATTATATACAATCAATTATTAGTGCCTTAAATTAGGGGATTCAGTTACACATTTTTTTTTCTCCTCTCCTCTTTCTATATTTTTCTTCCGCCTTAATTGCTTGTAAAATTAAGGTGAAATCTTTTTAGAGCAATAAGGAAATGTCAAAAAATTTCGGCCGCCTTAATTGCTTTTAACAAAACTTGGCTCTATGAATTTTACAAGATTTTGCTTCCTTAATTGTCATCGTCATACACTGTTTGGTTTATATTTGCTATTGTTTTATTTTTTCGATATTTATTTAATAAAAATAGAATGTTATTTTTATTTTATTCTACCACTTACTAATGAAATAAAAATACTTCACGGAATAAATGATATTTTAAGTGAAAACAGCATCATACAAATTTGTATGGCACAACAACATATAAAT